ACGACTCCATGAATCCATGCCTGGTGGAAGCTCCTCAGGGGATAGCCAAGCGGGGCTCCCTCCCAGTACCGGGCAGTGAGTTATTACCGCTGAATACAAAAGCTAGTCACGTGACTGTCACCTACCAGCAGTGGCACAAGTCCTTCTCCTTCCTGGGCTTCCTGAGACCTTGTTTTTCTATAATTAAATCTGAACCATAAAAGCCATACCTGTCAAATGACCTCCAGCTGCCCTCATAAACAACACTGGGAATTTTGCTGGTAGCAACTCTTCGCTTTTGGAAAAAACAGAAAAATATCCTATTTGGCTTCCTACACTCTTCCCTCCCCCACTCTACCTTTTTATTATTATTTTTTTCAATTCTGCCTACACTGAGCTTCCTCTCCCATTTTGGAATTTAAGTAGAGGACTGGAAAATACACAGCAAATAAAAAATATAGTATAATTTATTGAAGAGGTTCTGCTGTCTTCTCCTGAATTAGTAACCTGTCCTTTTAGGAAGAAGAGAGAGAAAGTGGAATGAAGGAATGTAATTTTTCTAACAGCATTTGGCTGTCTTTCTTTGATCATGTTTTATGGCTAGAGAATAAATTACCATGTGAAGGTTTCTGTTTAAAACCTGAATGTGTTTAGTGTGATTTGAATCCTGCCATATTTTGCATAGCTGCCTTTTGCCTGAGCAAGTTTAATGCAAAGATCAGCAGCTCAGAGTATAACACATATTAGCCAGTTCTTTTCTGCTATTGGAACCCCCCACTATTTTAATTGGATTCTTTCCAAAACTGCAACTAATTAAGAATCAATTCAGGACCATTAGCAAGTGGGACAAGCTAGCCAGTGCTGCATATTTCAAAAGAGTTAGTTTTAATGAGAGGTGTTACTGCATGGAAGGGCGGGGGGAGAGAAGAAACAGATTAAAGACAGTGTAGGGACCTTCCTCAGCTAAACTGAACACTAATGGTACATGGAAAGATGCTGAACTTGTAGTCCTCTGTAATTGATCTACTTACTGTTAAAGAAACTTTAAAAACATGAATGCAGGTATTTAGAGGTGCATTAGAGGTTCAGTAAAAATTTATAAATGCTACAAATTGTTGGTTCCTGTAGTGGAGTGCTCCTTTTATTGGAGAAACATATGCTGCCTGCTTTCGGATCCGTTAACCTCAGCACAGCCAACCCATTTTCTCTTGCCCGGGCTTTGTACTGGGGCACATCTGTGTATCCAGACTGCGGTGCCTGCAGATGGTGCTTTTTAATTTGTTAGAGGGTAAGCCTTGCCATATTTTTGACAGCTGTTCTTGAGTTTCTTTAGCACAAAGAAAAACTTTGCTAGAACCTGGTGTTAGGGAGAGAAATTTGATGTTCGCATCCTCATTAGTTGCTTCTACTATTTCTCGTATTTCAGTATCCAATCCTTTGTTGTTACTGGGAGTTGTATGCAGACTGAGGTTTTTCTCCAGAGGATGAAGGTGGAAAGTTAGTATACAGCTAACCTACTTTGAACATTATATTATGAATATATGTGTAGTTTCAATGGGACAGCCAAATATTTAATCATTAGGAAGGATAGGCAATAAATCAAATGTCTGAACTTGGCTGCATTATCTGATATGCTTGATTTCAGACTTAACCTTCCTCATGGACTTCTGTCATGAGAAATTACCTGGACTAAGTTTCTCCATTTGAAGCAATCATAACCCACCACAGAGCTTTTATGATTGTGAGATAATAGCAATAAAAAAGAGATTGTTGGCTTCTAGCTGTGGACACGGACAATAAAAATATATTACTCTACAGAAAAATAATTTTACTAAGTTTAGGTTTGATTACATGTTTAAGATGGTATAGAGATTGAAAAGGCGATTACAAGGATATTGAAGACATGCAAATTTTTTTTTTCCTTTTTTTTTTTTTGTCTTTTTTCGTGACCGGCAACGGATCACAACCCTCAGTAAATTTTTTTTTTCCTTTTTTTTTTTTTGTCTTTTTTCGTGACCCGCAACGGATCACAACCCTCAGTGTCGCGCCGGCCTGTATGTGGGATCCGAACCCTCGGCGGGAGCGCCACCGCACTCCCAAGCGGCGCACTGTAGCAGTGCGCCACCGGGCTGGCCCAAAGACATGTGAATTTAAGGGATTCTTTAAGATGTGTAGGGCTAAAGAAAGTCATGTAGGTTTTTTGGGGTAGGTTTTTCTCTAGTTACAAATGTTACCAACACAATAAAGTAGGCAGTTTGAATCTGTGTACTGCTGTTTACGCATGGGCTTGCAATATGGGGTCTCATTGTCTCCTCTTTGCACTCCCATCTTCCTGTCATCTGGTCACCATCCTTGATTCCTCCCTTACACCTCCTTTCCACATATGATCCATCATCAATACCTGTTGATTTTCCTGCCTTCATTTCTCAGTTCTGTCACCTTCTCTTCTATCTTAGTTTGGGCCTGCAGCATTTCTTGACTATATGGAAAAGGCCCATTTCCTGAATCTCTCTGCCCCATTCTTAACTCCTCTAGGCCCTCCCTTAGTACCCTGGACTTACTGTGGTGTCTCATTTGTCACACCATAATACAATGATCAATTTACTTGTCCCTTTTTTCACTGTTTGGCTGTGAGCTATTTGAGGACAGGGACTAGATCTTTCACCTCTGTATCTGCAGCCCTAGCACAGTGCACACAGTGGAAGCAGAAGAGAAGTAAACTGCTGAATGCATTACCTCCAACCATATATTATTAGGCTCTCTTCTAGGCTGTGGAGCTACAGTTGGGAGTGGGACTCACAAAATCTGTGTCCTTACACGCTTGAGACTCATGTAAACAAAAATGCAAGTGAACAGATGATCTTGAAAAGTCACTTGCCTGGGTGCTGTGTGACATGTTTAGTTCTAGTTCTAGCACACAGGGGACCATTCTAGCATACAGGGGACTGTTTAAGGTACACACAAAAGAAACCTGGAATGCTGAGAGGTCTTTCAACCCCCAGGTTAAACATCAACTTTACGACTTGTCCATCAGAAGGGTAAATATTTTAAAGAGGTTGAAGAATGAAGTCATTTGGGTCAAGAGTATGTGATAGATTGATGTAATAATGGCCTCCAATTTGTTCATGGTTTCCTTGTACCCATGTCCCTGGGCAGTTTCCTCTTACACTGACTCTGAGCTTGACTATATGACTTTCTCTGGCCAGTGGTATAAAGCAAACGTGAGACAGTCAGAGATGTAAAAAAGTACCTGAACATGGGGCACCTGAACATGGGGGCTTGCCCTCTTTTATTGCATATAGGGCCGTCACTAGGGCCATGATATAAAGAAGCTCAGGCCAGCCTGCTGGATGATGAGATACACATGGCTGGGTCACTCTTATGGCTCCAGACAACTGCAAGTCATCTTTTGGATACGTGTGTGAGAACATCCTAGACCACCTAGCTCCCACCTGACCAGCCAAGTGGTAACAGAGGCATGAGCAAACCCAGCCACGAGCAGACAATGCTGACCCAGCACAGAGCTGACCAAAGACTTGTGAGCAATAATAAATGGCCATTACTTGAGGCCACTATATTTTGGGTGGTGCGTTATGCAAAAAAAGCTAACTGAATAAGGCAGCAACTACCACCTTCATGCTCAGTAGTCAAAACAGCATCTGGGAGACCAGATATTTCATTCAAAGTCTCAACTAGATAAATCCTAGGCATGGGGTGGGGTGGGAAAAAGTGGTCAAAAGTAATTGGTTTTCAACCTAGGGATGTTTGACATTTTTGATCTCCATGTGTAGCTCATTCATTTGTAGAGGAAAGTAGGAAATAGGATGATGGCTGTAAGGTCAGTGAGACAAACGGAATGAAAGCCTCCAAGCCAAATGTTTATCAAGCAAGGGAGTTTACTCCAGTGAGCCTGGAGGGGAAACTAAAAGATCGGTGTTCTTCCCTTATACAGACTGGCAGAAGCTTTATTGGAATGAAAGCCTCCGAGCCAAATGTTTATCAAGCAAGGGAGTTTACTCCAGTTAGCCTGGAGGGGAAACTAAAAGATCGGTGTTCTTCCCTTATACAGACTGGCAGAAGCTTTATAGGGTTTGTCTGCGAGGGGGTTGGGCAACTATTCTGAGCCCTCAGCATTCCATAAGGGCTTTGCGTTTCTTTCTTTCTTTCTTTTTTTTTTTTTGCTTTGTACAAGATATTTTTTATCAGAATGCACCAGCCTGAGAGAAAGGGAGGAGGTGGGGGACAGGGTGAGTTGTACCAGGCTTTCTTATCTGAATGTACTGGCCTTGAGGGAAAGGGAGGAGGCAGGCGGATAGGGTGAGGGAGTAGCAGATGTTCTCATGTTAAGCTGACTGTGAGGCCTAATAATGGCGAGAAGTAGATTGTGTGATGGTGGTGGGGGTAGAGCACACCAGGGTTGGGACTCAGTAACACAAACTGGGCGGAGAGCTAAAGGGCAAGGTACTAGGGCAGAGAGGCCACCTGTCAAACATTTCAGGTTTTTCTAAAGCTTTGGTGTTTTTTTAAAGATTCTTTTGACAATGTCATGAGTGCATCATGGTTCGCAAGGTCACCTACTGTAAAAAATAAAAAAGTTAAGAATGTATTCTGACAATGGTCTGAGGTTGTTAAAAGGCAATGAGGAAGGACCTATTCTTTTTAGTTTCTGCCTTTTGGAATCATGATACTGAAGTTTTATTTCATTCATTTGTTTAACAAATATTTACTTACTTCCTATAGGTGCCAGTTGTAAGGATAATGTAAGGATACCATAGGCACTCAAGCGGAGGGGGAAAAGCATTCCCTAGCAATATGGCGCTCTTCCGGGTTCTTCTCCGCAGTAAACAATCCCGTCAGGGCTAACATCCAAGCCCACCCGCAGCAAACCTCAGCCAGTCACAGGTCAAGGCTCACTTCCTGCCCAGCCCCGTCCAATCAGCTACCACCCCGTCCACCCCCTATCCAAACCCAGAACGCAGCTCCCTATAAATATATGCGCAGTCCTTGAATAAAGCGGAACTTCTCTGGTGAACTTTCAGCCCGGGTCTCGCGTGCCTCCTTCATCCATGTCTCCTTCACAAGTTACTGTGATTTGTGCTACAGATACGAAATCTGAAGTGTTTGCAGTCCAGTAAGGTTAACACACAAGTGAACAGAGCAGACATATGCAATAAGAAGTGAGTGATAGGATAAGGGTAAGATCAGCTTGCTTGGGGACACATAGGAGGAAGACCTCCTATGCCTCATCCTGCAGGTGGGGGCCCAGGGAGGGTTAGTTTGCCAAGAATAGGAGGTCTGAGGCTTCTCGTATTGCAGCTTCTGGCATAGCTGACCACAGTGTTCAACACAGGATGATGAGTTGGAGAAGCATTGGGGGGCGAGAACCCTCTTTACCTTTACCTTTATCTCTCATACTTGCTCTCTGTCAAGCTCAAATGTGTTCCTGATGGGGGAAGCACAGGTGTTCCAAATCGAGGCAGCCAGACACCAGCCTGAGGACCTGCCTCCTGGCCAGGAGTAGAGGGCTTTTGAGCCTGACTATCTGGCCACGTGCTGAGCGCACATTGTTTCCAGTTTTCCTCTTGTATATTTAGTTTTATATCTGAATTTCAAGACTTGCCGTGTTTCTTAAAGTTGATGTGTAAAGGGCTTATGGTAGGTTCAGATACTACTGAAAGAAAGTGAGCCAAGACGCCAGGTACTGTTCAAGCTTTATTAAAGAAAGAAATCTGCCAGGCTGTGCTTAGAGTGACAGGCAGCCCAGGACTGCCCCCAAAATGGGGGACAGCACCAGGCGTGGGGGTGGTAGGGCTTATATAGTGCGCCAAGGGCTGGCTGAGACCATCAAGGAGGGTCATTTTGCTAATGTAGATCGGGGTGGAGAACTGCGTCCTTTCAGAAGCAGAGGGGTTTCTGTTGAAGTCAGGAGGCTTCTCCTAAAGGGAAGTGGGGGAGGGGAGGAGGTGGCGGCACCATTTTGTACTTGGGCTTGTCTAAAGTGGCGCTGGTTATGTTGCAGATCTATTAACTACCTTGTAAAAAGAGACAGCACATTGAAGGAGAAAGTTTAGAGAATGTTCTTTGTTAAAGATGTTTGTCATTTTGGAGGAGCTGCCCAGCTTTGGAACACCATTCCTAAATGTGGGGAATCCATCAGCTTATGGCGTTTGGCACAGCCTTGCCCATTTTCAGAAGATGAAAGATACCATATAACTTTTTAAATTTTGTTAGCGGGGGGAAGGCCCCTAGGGTTGGCCAACTAGATATGTCTGTTGAGGACGCTGCCTATGGAACTACTGATGTAAAGAACCAATGGCCATGGAGAGTTCCCTGCCCAGCTGTGGACACTGTCAGTGTCCTGGGGCAGCAGGGTCAGTGCCTTGGGGTCGGCAGTGTGAGAGACCCTGTTTTGTGGCAGGCCCTGGACTGTGGTTGCAGAACCATTCTTCAGTGGCCTTAGACTGACCCAGTTCTCCCCTTTGTCTTGCTTGTAGTTCTCAAGAATAACTATAGAGTGTGCTGGGAATGCAACATCCTGAGAGAAGGAGGGACTGGCTGGAACAGCCTGGGCTCTGTTCTAGCTCCCCCTAGAAACAGGATGTCCTTCAACACTTTACTGCAGTGAATCACATTACCACCATGGTATAAAACCCAGAGTAGGTGCTTTCTGGGGTCCCTCAGCTGTGGTGCAAGTGGGACACGTGTAGACAAGGATCCATTCACTCTCTGCAGCTTTCTTGAGCCTTGGGGGACTTGCATGTCAAGAATCCTAGGCTTCTGTTGTCCCTTGCTTCCTGCTTGTAAGTAACAAACCCACTTCACGTAACTTGTGTGTGTGACTGTTTTGTCTCACCAGACATGGCCAAGTAGTAAAAGTAAAGTCTAAGATGCAGTGGGCTGAAGCACAGCCAGTGCACAGCAAACCCACTTCACAGCGGTCCTCATGGCCTGGCATCCCTTTGCTCCTGTCTGTTTTCCAAGTCTGGTTCTCTAGCCCTCCAGGCAATTCCAGGAGCTGCCCAATATCATTTCAATGATTTTTTTCCTTAAATGAGATGGTTACTTGCAGCTAAAGGTGCCAAATGATACACTCCATTATTGTAGTTTTAAAAGAGAGGCTGAGGTAGGGAATTCACAAAGCAGGCTGGATAACCATGTTAGTTGGGGTTTAGATGCTGAAAACAGAATGCCCTCTTACTAGGTTTAGCAGGACAGGGAATTAGTTAGCTCAGAATGATTGGAAGGGTTGAAGAAATAGACGTGGGTTGAACTTCATAAAAAAATTCCCACAATTCTTTACTTACTTATTGTTTGTTGTTTACTGCCCGTCCCATCTCCTCTACTAGAATGTAAGCCCCATGAAGGCAGCAACCTTCATTTTGTTCCCTTACATACTCTAAGCACTTAGAACAGTGTCTGGCACATGTTGGTACTCAAGAATACAATAATAATAATAATAATAATAATAATAATAATGATAATAATAATACACATAGAGAGAACTTTTCAATGAGAGAATTCAGAAAGTCTTTTAGTATATCCATAAAGAGACCATAAGTGACTTTTCTAGTTGGGAGATATTTGGCCATATGTCACAGAACTTGTAGGAATAAAGCCAAATCAGACCTTACTGTCCACTAAAGGAAGCTTTTTTTTTTCCCACCAAGAAGATGAATCAATACATCAATATTTAATGTGCATAATTTAGTCCATCTCCCATGCAGAGGGTGACATGAGTAATGTATATCTCTGGTTTGCATTGCTTGAAAATTTTGATTAGGGGTTTCATAAGCTCTTGAATTATGGGACTTGACATAAGGCTGGGCTGACTTAAAACATTTGGAATAATTTGGACCAGGTAAGCCTCAGTAATAATACCAAAAGTTTATCGATGATAATGAATTTCTTATAGATTCTGGGAAGAGTTTGTCAAGTTTGACAGGTGGGGAAACCAGAGGAGAAAGGGCGGGGAGATCTGGGCTTCACATGCAGTCCCAATTTAACAGGCTTGACCTCTAAATTACTACTTTAATTTTGATTTTTAAATTTTGGTATAGTGCATATTCTTGGTATGTTCTAGTATCGATTGTAATTCTGATTATCAAGGTTTTTGCAAGATAATATACAATATTTGTTTTGTTATTGTCAAATGATTTTGTTAGTGTAAGGTGATTATGTCTGAAGGGGCAGAAGAACCAGGACTGTATGTAGCATGTTGTTTGTGCTCTATAAACATCACTGTCATCATTTTGGAAAGATTAATAAAATGAGAGCAGGCATTTAGGGGAACTATAAAGCATCAGCAGGGCACCAGCAACCTTCTTTCCTTCCTTCCTTCTTTCTTCCTTCCTTCCTTCCTTTGTTTCTATCTATTTTTAGTTCTATCCTTTTTCTTTATTTTAAAAAAGCCATATACACAGTATATCTCAAAACCCAATTAAATTCATTCATGAAAAATTCCATTAAAAGAACATTTAAAAAATCTACTCTAATTCAGTAGGAGCCAGGGGACTTGGAGTGAGCCTGGCACTTCTCTTTTTAATCACTACATTTTTTATTGATAGACTTTATAACAGTAATCTTTTACTTAGAAAACTATATTTTCTAAGTAAAATATAAATAATAAATCCCATTCCATGTCAGTTCCTCCTCACATCCAAATAAAAAGAAAACCAGAGTGCTTCAGTGTGCTCATCATTTTTACAAAGGAACATTGCTAAAACAAGTGCTAGAGCCTGAATAGTTATAGAAATTACTATACAATTAATTCCACCCAAATTAGCAAGTTGTCTATTTACAATACGGTTGTAGTTTAAAAATTGATTTTTCTATGTGTCAGTAATGCAGGCTCAGAAAGAGAGGAATTATCTTGTCCAGGCAAAATATTTCCCTATGGCTGGATAGCTGGCTGGGATCTGCTGGCCAGCTGAGCCAGATCAATGAGTTCCCTGGGCTTCCGATCAAGCCGGAGGGCTTCCTCCCCACCCCCAAGTCCTGCCGACTTTACTATGATACCTATAAAACAAAAAGTGTGTGCAAACTTGCAAAAACCTTGATATGCAGAATTATAATAGATACTAGAGTATACCAAGATACTAGAGAAACCCTGGGTTTCAGTTCCTATCAATTGTGTGCAACAAAGTTGTTTCCAAGTTGTAGACGTTTCTCTTCATCATTTCACTCTCTTGACCATTTCATGACTTGTTTGCAAACTCTCTTGAGCTTGAGAGATTGAAATAACCATACTTTTACAACCTGATGATAATGCTTGTAAAAACTTTCTCTTCTGTGGGGAATTCTAAAGCTACTGGTTAAAGTGGCATTTAGGTGTTATCAATGATCTAGCAAATCCCTAACCGCAGGATCATCTTCTCCAATAAGGCTCTCTTCAATAATTGCGAGGTAAATTTTCATCCGGCATGTATCTTTCTTAATTCCTTTTTCACTTATATCTTATTAATTGCTCTGAAACACTCCCTTTTTTGCATATAGGTGTATTTCAAATGCACAATAGCATTGTGCTTGAGATACTGCATGCATAAATACTTATTTGATTCAATAAGAATTTAAATGCACCAGGGAGATTATTCTTCAAGGAACATTCAGCAAAACTCATCCATGAGCACCTACTCTGTGCAAGGCACTCTGGGATTCAGGAAAAAAATACGTTCCTTATTTATTTATTTTTTTATAATAGAAAGAACCAGCAACTGATTTATCTGCTTTGGAAGTTGGCTATTTTCACATACTTGGTTTTATTAAACATCTATTAAACAAACTAGAGTACGCAAGAAATGAAACTTTATTTCGATCTAACAGACAGTTTCTATCTGAAGAATTCATTCTGCCTGTCAAAGAAACTGTACCCAGTCAATTCAGAGTAAACTCTGTCAAATCAGGGTAATTCTCAGTTAATTCAAGGTTTTCCCCTTTCTTTACCTCTTGTACCGAAACTCCTGGTGCTTAGATAGATCAGGTCAAGGCAGCAGGGAGGCCAGGGCATGTGCTGCTAGGAAGTCCTTTGTCCACTCAGGCAGCTCCTGTGTCTCTGTTCGTCCTTTATGGTCTTCAGCTGTACCCGCTGTCATCACCTGTCAGTCTAGGCAGCCCTAGCAGGCCTGCTTTCCACTCTCCCGCATTATCATAACCACACTGCTCTTGTCTGCACTGAAAACACTTTATTCCTTGATGAGGCTCAGGCCTTTTTCTAGATGCCCCATGAAGGTGTGAGACCATAGCCTCTCACTGGGGTGTGATAGAAGTCCAGGCTTGCTGCTTTTTTGGTCCCGCATGGTAGTGAGGCACTGGTCTTCTCTGCTTTTGTCTTTTCAACTTAATCAGGGAATGCTCTGATTCATCTCCCATCCCTGGAATCAACCTAGGGGTGATGGGCAGTAATTAGGACTCCTTCCCAGTGGCACCCTGATGTCACCAGCTCCCCCACTCTCCTTGTCTTTTCTTACCCTGGATCTCTTCTTTCTTCTGGGTTAGGAAAAACTGGCTTCTTATTGATCATGTTCCCTCCAAATCTTTCCTGTTTTAGACCTGGTCTATGGCTTTAAAACATTTGATTCTTTTATTCTCTGATTCCCTGAGGCAATGATTCCATGTGGCCCATTTGCAAGAAGAAAGGGTAGAAGGGCGAAAAAGTTTCAAAGCCTATCTGTTAGTACATCACAACATAACCTGCTGTGCTGGGTTTCCGTAAGGCTCACCAAACCTGCTCACTGCTTTTATATGTCCAAATTAGTTTTCAAAATTTTGTTTATATGTCTTTCAGTTTTATGAGTTCTGAATTCCTGAAGGTCTGAAGTTTTGTCTGTAGCTATGGTTTATGACACTTGCCTCACTACATGTAGGAATCAATGATTACTGATTTCTTTTCTAAACAACCCAATAACTTGAGCTAATCTTACCACCCCCACCTGCCTCAAGCCCAGTAATCATTTCTGGAGAAAAGGATGCTATGAAGTTATAGTGGAAAGAGAGAGTCATTTATGCAGTTCTGCCAGTTAGCATAGTTCTCCTGACATTGGAGCCCTCATCTAATTTGTCTCTAGGCCAATATCACTGTCCCAGTTGGACCATTGATATATATGGTATTGTGTGCTTCTCCTCCTTGGGTATGGCCTAATGGTCCTGAACTGGGGGGACTTAACAAGTCCTGTTTGCTCAGATTCTTCTTGGTCTCCGGGTACAGGGAGAACCCCTCTGGAATGAGGGTCTTATGACCTACTTTTAGGTGAGGTAGGTCAGAGAATTCCTTTACGACCATGCTTCAGAGGAAAAAGGTGGGAGAAGGTCAGAATGGACTTCTTGCTTCTATGGTTTTCACAATTTCCTTCAGCTAAAAGTGCTCAGGTGCCATATTTTGGGGTAGCATTTCCTGTACCCCATCAGTCAGAAGCTGAGGAGTCACACATCCTGGAAAGGAAAATCAGGTCACAAGCATACTCACAAAATGTATTTCTCTGTCCCAGCTCCCCTCCAATTTTGAGGTTCCCAAGGAATGTCTTACATGTTCTGCAAACCTGGCCACCAGAATACTGCCTCCATCTCCCGCTCCTGGCTGATACGGCTGTGGGAATATTTGTGGTTACTGCTGATGCCAAAACCTAACAGCGGTGCTGCCGAGTCTCTGTCAGTGCTGAGAGGCAGCTGCTGACTCCTCCAGCCATCTTGCTGCTTTGCTGCACACCCGTGCCCTGGCCCTGGAAATCCTACTGGAATTGAGAACTCAGGTGACCAATCCCTTCTCATCTCAGATATCCTGCATTGAACCTGTGCTCACACTGAACTTGTTCTCACTATTGGGATACATGTTTTTTCCTCCAGAAGTTTCCACCCTCTCCACCAAATCTCCAAACGTTCCTCAACACAACTGAACCCTTAAACTCAAGCTGGAAACTTTGAGTATTTAAACACTTGCAGTCATGAAATCCTGTATATATATATTTATATATATATTATTCAATGGACTCCCTACCTATTAATTTTGAAGTCATTAACTGGATTAAAAATATTCTTAGTCTTTCCTTGCCCCGACTCATCAGTGATTGGCTACAACATATATTTAAATCCCTCATTAAATAGTTCTAAAATCTAGTCTTTGTTAGAAGAAAGTAAGAATTCAGCACTGTCAGAAAACAATAAAAGTAATAAGTAGTTATTTACATGTGTCTGAACCTTGATTGTTTTTTATAGATGTATGTTGGGTTCAGGATGTGAACTGAACAGATTCTATCGATAACTGCTTGGCATTTCAGAAATGAAGTCAAATTCTTTCTATTAATAAATACAAGATTTGTTACTGTAACAAAACCAACTAATTGCAGAATCAACAATGAGGAGCCTTATGTCTGAGTGAGCACATTCAGAGATTACAGAGAGGAATTTAGTAGAAAATGTGTAGGGCTATTGAGCAGGAGGCTGCAAAGATAAAGTTTAATTTTTTGTTGTTGTTACAGAGTGTCTTGGACAACCTCAAGACTAATGCACGTGGCAGTCTGATACCATCAGTAATGAGGAGCAGTTGTTATTCAGACTCAGCTCCTGATAAGTTTCATGTATGGATAACAGGCGCAGAATAGCCCATGCTTACTGTTTCTGCAAGAGTAATCATTTAGGTCATGGTTTACCTTGTTTTTCTTTCCACCCCTCTTCTCCCACCGGTTATCTCAACCTCACTCCACAAAGGAAGGAAAAAATCCCAGACCTGAAAGGGACAAGTTGTGTGGGAGAGGAGGGTGGGGGTGGGCAGGGGTACAGGAAGCCCTTTTTGAGGAGTTCTCTCCTCAGCCTCATCCACCTTCATAGGCTGCTCCACTCATACCTCAAGCCCTAGACCCTCCTCGGTGACTGGGTTCCCATGGTGTGCTCCTGACCTCAGTTGCCTTTCCTGTCTATATGTCTGGCTCTACTAGATGAAGCCTCGTTGCTAGTTTTCTGTGCGCTCCGTGCTCCCATTTACCGGATCCTCACTTGCTGACAGCCTGCTTGGACCTCTGAGGATCTGATTTCTCTTTCATGACTGCTTTGACGTAGTCTATGATCTTTATGGCTTGGCTCTCCTTGACTCCTCAGCCTCAGAAGCACTTCTCTGATCTATGATCTCTTTGGGTACATCACTCAAAGGGACTTCTGTTTATACCTTGGGACCACACTCTGAGCCTCTACTCAGCCCTGAGGGCCTTGCCAGACTCCCAGCAAGTACACCCAGCTGCTGCTGAAACCATTGCTGATGAATTTGTTTTTATCAGTCTGCTTTTGTCTTCTTTCTGTATCACTGGCCTATGCTATGGTAGGGTGTGATTGGAGAGCTAGATTTTGGAATTAGACTGTCTGGATTTGAAACCTGTCTATCAGTTATTAGCTCTTTGACCTTGGAAAGTTCACTGAACCCCACTAAGCCTCAGTTTTCTCACCTATTAAACAGGTTATTTATAATATCAATCTCTTGGGTTATTATAAATATAGTATTCACTGAGGTAACATATGCAAAGCTCATTGCACAGTCCTGGGCACATTGTAAATATACATAAATGTAAATTATTAGAATTATAAATGAATAATTGTGATACTGGAAGACTCAGGGCTGCTTTTCAGAAAAGTCTGATCCTGGTGTTCGGCTGTTAATATTTTATTATTATTACATTCTTAAATTATGAGGTAATTTAGGAGGAAAAGACATGGCCTCTCTGCTGAGGAATGAAAGCTTACAAATCTAGAGTAAAAAAATAGTTTTATTTTTGAACCTCTTCAATAACTGTCTCTTGTGTGGGTAATGTAATTACCAGTGAAACATGAATAAAAACCCAACTCAATAAATTAGATTTTCATTGAAATTCTTTGCTTGTATTCTAAGGGAATAGGACTTTGAGTTTTGGAACACTTTTTTGCCACTTTATTTTTTAAGTGCTAAGTCATGACGTACATAGTATGCATCTTAATATATTCATTCATGTCCAGTTTCAACAAAACTGGGTGGGAATTAGTACCCCATAATTCATGCCCTAGGGTCTTATTACAATTATAAAATTTTATTATAAAATGTTTTTTTAATATTTATATTGTTAATTAAATGATGATGAATCCTCATAAATTCCGAACAGAGAATTATAGTCCATTAGTCTCTGCTAACACTTCTTATTAGCCAATCAGAATATTTGATTTCTCCTTCTCACATGTTCAGATGTTTGATGGTAAAACTGGCTGATGTTGCTGGTTCTTTTCTATACCTCTGGCACCTCTGGAAGAAGAAAGGTCTCAAAGCAGTTTACCTGCATTGAAGTTAACACAAGGTGGTCATTTTCTTGGGGGAATTTTTGGAGCACCTTGTGATTATTTTTTAAAAAACCTTCATTTGAGTTTTAGTTTCTAAGGAGATTTTTATACTGGAGAAGGTAACTATAAAAACAGCAGTCATATCCTGATATAAGGATTTCTACCCTCCTACATACACACAACACACAATCACTAGAATTGTTGCGATAGACATTAAATGATGACATAATGACCACTCAAGCAGCAACCAAAAGGTAGAGCGATGAAAAACCCCAAAAGAATGATCTAGACCTGCACTGTCTGATAATATAGCCATTAGCCATTAAGCACTTGAAATGTGGGTAGCATGACTGAGGAACAGGATTTAAAATTTTATTTACTTGTAATTAAGATTTAAATTTAAAGAGCCACTGAATTTTAAAAAATTCAGTTCCTCAGCCACACTAGTTATATAATTAATAATTAATTGGGAGGCTGTTAGACTAGGGCAGCTCCAGTGCCCTGGGATCCTACATAAGCAAATTGAAACTCAGCTCAGTGCAAATGGTCATAATCAAGGAAAACAGAATTTAAGCTTAACCAGTTGGAAACTGCCAACTAACCTTTAACTAGGGACATTCCACTGGAATGATCCAGAAGAGGCTACCGCTCCACTTTAATCAATCAAATGTTTTCTTTGCTTTGCTTCTGCATTCACCTTGTAAAAGTTTTCCCCTTGTGCCCCTTCAGAAGTCTGGGGCTGCCTGATTCACGAATTGCTATTTGCTCAAATAAACTCTTTAATATTTTAATGTGCTTCAGTTTATCTTTTAACAATTTCAATTGCTGAATAGTCACATGTGGCTGGCTAGTGGCCATCAGACTGAGCAGTGCAGAACATTTCCATCATCACAGAATGTTCTATTGGATAGCACTCATCTTCACAGTCACGGGGAGGTTGAGAAGATGTAATAGTCTTTCCTCTTTTTGTCCCACTTTATCCTATGTCTAGGCATCCTCAACACAAGGGAAGTGGGGGATTCAGAAGGAGGGAGAGAGGAATGTTAACATAAAACTTAAAAATGAGCTTTTTGGGCTGGCCCGGTGGCGCACTCGGTTGAGTGTGGCGCTTGGGAGTGTGGTGGCGCTCCCGCCAAGGGTTTGGATCCCATATAGAGACCGGTCCACTCACTGGTTGAGCGCGGTGCGGGCGCGACACCGAGGGTTGCGATCCTGTTACCGGTCACGAAAAAAGACAAAAAGGGAAAAAAAAAAATGAGCTTTTTGGTAACCAGAGCTGTAGCCAAAATACTGGGAGAGGAAGCTGAGGCGCATTCCACTGTGAGAAGGCTATGACATGTTCCGGGGCTGGGATGTTGCTGATTGTCACAGGTGTGAATTTAGTGAGAGACTACAATAGTAACTATGTTAAAGAAGAGAAATCTTGTCAAAAGTAACAGTCAGAGGTGCAAATATTTTAATCTTTTTCTCTCACACTACGCTTTTTCCTGAGAAGAAAAATTTTGGAGCTCAAGCATCATTTCTTTCTCAAAGTTGAATGTGCATGTGAATCACCTGTGAATTTGGTTAAAATGTAGATTCTTATTCAGTAGGTCAGTGGCGCAGCCTGCATGTCACATTTTTGAGAACCTCCCACATGAAGCAAATGGTCAAGGACCACACTGTGAGTTGTAAGACTCCAGAATGTCTAGAAAACATTTGCATCCAAACCTTCTGTATAAACACTGTCCTAATTACTGGTTAAAACACAGATTTTCTCCAGAAATCAATATGCCTTTAGTTTCAAACTCAGACCAGGGAAATTTTTCTGGGAGTGGAGGGTGGAGGAAGTCTGTCGTTTTTGGAAAAATGAGACTCGTTACCTGGAATCCCAAAACTGGTGTAAATATGTTCTGATGTTTTCATACAAAAGTATGGGGCATTTAAAAATTGAGGAGCACTGTCCAATAGAAAAGAATTCAGTCAAATTTTTTATGAAAATACAAAGTGAGTTAACGTGTTATGTTTTTAGTATTGTTGTGACTATTTTTGTAACACTAAGCCTTTGAACAGAAAGCAGTTTCTAACTGATACTATGATTTAGAGCTAGTTGAAGAATAAATTGATTGTAGATAGAGGCCAGCTATTGATCAGAAAGAGGAATGGGAAACTGGAACATTTCTCAAGTAGAGAAAAATTCAGAATTAGAAGCTAGAAGGCAGGGAAATAGCTGTTTGGAAAATACAATCAGGAGTACTCATAATATTAGATGCATAATATCTATGGGACTTTTTGGCTTCTGATAAAGATGAAGAGACTGGAAATACTAAGGAGCGGAGGATCCAGAAGGAATGAGATATCTCTATTCCTTGGTTAAGTCTTGCAGGACTAGCAGGGTCAGCAGAGCAAGTGGAGCTGCCTGGAAGGATTGCGGAGCTACCGTGAAGTCCAAGGCATCTTTGTAAGCACTAGATATGCCAGGAAGACTTACATGTGAAACTGAAAGACCCCGATCAGTTATTTCTGCTCATACCTAGAGGAGAACCAAGACCAAGGTAACCAGAAGCCTAATGTTCCAGGCATCCACTTGAGTTTCATGCTCTGCTTTGTTGTTTTTAAAATAAAGAGTTTCGTGTTTATGGAAAAATCAATATCGAGAAGAAAAGTATGCCCTCTAGATTTCCCATTTATTCATGATCAAGGGAAGCTTAGATGCTCAATTGTTTTATTTGTCAGTTAACGCTCAGTCCAGAAACACTTGTGTGCTTGGTGCAATTAAACTGCAGGATTATATAAGGGAGGAAATAAAGTGTCTGATTAGTACTAGTCATAAAAATGAAAACAAACAAAAAAGAAGCAAAAGTCTTTATATCTGAAAAGTAACAGCAAATAACACAAATAATATAACATTGT